ACTCATGCTGGGTGCTTCTCTTACCAGCCAGATACCCTGGCAATTTTTTAGTGGCTTCCAGGTACCCAGCTGAGGCTCCCGTTGGTGACTTAAAATGTGGAGACTGAAGTGGTTGGAAAAAAGGAACAGACCAGTAGCTGAAGTCCCAGAGTGAGGGCTCAGCATCTGAACGGGTTGTTCCGTTTTGAGAGGCTCAGTCTTATTGTGACTAAAGCGCCTCACCTGACTCCCTACCTTGGGTCTGGTCACCCCCGAGCCCACCTTCACTCTCTGCTCTTTCCAGACGTCTCCCTCTGGCCTTTCACTGCAATCTGGTGAATCCCCAGCACTCTTCCAGCTCACTTCTCCCTGCTGGTCCCACGTTTGCTCAGAGTCAGCTGTAGTTCTCCAGTCACCCTTTCATCTAATCAGTCAGATAGTTCACGCAAGTCTCAAACAAGCCCCTTTCCACTGGAGAAGCTTTCTCGTTTGGTGACTAATTAGTTGTCCTCTGTAAATGGGTCTCCATCCCCTCAACCCTCATGTGGTTGTCACTGGATAGGCATCAGTGAATGTCTTCTGGACCCAGTTGTATTGACTATGTGTTTGTTTTCCTTCTGCCCAACAGAGTTTAAGCCCTAAAAAGCTTGCCCAGGTGTCCAGTTTGTAATCACTTATTTTTTTAGAATAGTATCATGTACTCTTAAGAGTAATGAATAAGTACCCTAAGAAAGATCTGAAGTTGTATGTCTGAAAATTCAAAAAAATTCTTCTCTTCCAGCTACAGTCCCACTTGTGTCTTGGAAGGGGATCATGATTTCCGCTGTGATGCCTGTTTTCTGGGCTACGAAGGACAATATTGTGAGAGGTATGTCGCCTGCTCCTTTTATATGCACAGGACATATTTACAGAAGTAATGGGGAGTTGTTACCAGTTTGATAATGCAAAACCAGACCTCCTGGGCAATAAGGCAGGTAAAGGCACTTCCTTGTGACCGTCGTGTCCTTTTAGGGAATAGAGTGCAGAGGGAGGTGAGCAGACCTGTGCTCTCTGCACTTCACGAGACAGAAGTGATGCCTGTCCTTGGGTGGCTGCTCTGTGTATTCACTCACTCACTGGTGTGGATCCTGCCTTCTGTCCTCCCATCTCCTTCTGCAGGTGCTCATTGGGTTACTATGGGAACCCTCAGATGCCAGGCGGCAGCTGCCAGAGTTGTGACTGCAGCCCGCACGGCTCTGTCCACGGTGACTGTGACCGCGGGTCCGGGCAGTGCGTCTGCCGGCCGGGGGCCACGGGGCTCCGCTGCGGGGATTGTGAACCGAGGCACATTTTGGTGGAAAGCGACTGTGTGTGTGAGTGTCACCCCTCCGAAGGGCTAAGGAGGGTTTCTCCTCTTGGATGGTTTCCCAGTACCCAGTGGCATCAGCAGGCTAAGCTCAAGGGCTTAGTTGCTCTGCGGCATGTGGGATCTTAGTTCCCTGCCCAGGGTTTGAACCCACATCCCCTGCATTGCAAGGTGGGTTCTTAACCACTGGAGCCCCAGGGAAGCCCCTAGATGTTATTACAGGAGGCTATGGCCACCCATGGTACCCGGGCAGACTCTTTGCTGTAACTTGAGCATCCTCTATCTTGTAGCCTGTGATGATGACTGTGTGGGTGTTCTGCTGAATGATTTGGCTCATGTTGGGGATGCCATCCTGTCTGTGAACCTCACCAGCACCATCCCTCTCCCATATGGAGTTTTGTCAGACCTGGAAAATAGAACGAAGTCTCTCCGGGTAAGTACTGCAAATACAGAGATTGATAGAAGCGTGCGTCACAGGAAGTTGAAGAGTTGGTTGGGACCCTAGGGGTCATTCTGTCTGTCCTCCACCAGTGCAGGAGTCTCAGTCCCAGTGTCTGGTGCTGGGACGTCCCCAGCCTTCTCCCTTTGACCCTGACCGAGAATTGCATCGTCCACGTGATTACTGGTTTCACCGTGCAACAGCCCTGATTGTTCAAGACTTGATCCACAGTTGCCTCCTGTGTATAAATTCTTCCTCTTTGCTCCTCCTACTACCTTGTGGGATAAGACAAGGTCCACTCGCCCCTGTTTATAACAGGTCTTTGGACAGAAAGCAGCTCTCTTAAAACAAACACAGAAAATGAATTGAGACGGCATTGTCTTTAACGTGCTGAATGAAGAGGAACTGTTTTCCATCAATGTATTATTCTTAACTGGAGTTGAAGGCCACAAAGGTTCCTCCTCCCTCAAAGACTATATAAAAATCTCTGGGGCTAAATCATAGTTTTATGTTTAGTTAAAATCTGTGTTTTGATCTGGGTCCAAAAGACGATGGGAAGGTAAGAAGTTGACTTGCTAGACAGCATTTTTTATTCTAATTAGGGGAAAAAATGAGTCTAAATTTGGCCCAAAGCCTATGCTTTAGAATTTGAGGTATTTAATTCACCATGTCATGCCATAATGCCAATGTGTGTTTGTGTGTGCGTGTGTGTGCAATTCGGCTGCTTCAATGATCCATTCTTGTTAATATTGGTCAGTTCTCCATAGATTTAATAAAGTTTAGGAAACTGTACGAGGTGTTTCTACGTTATTTTTCCTGAAATAGAACAAAATGTTTTCAAAGATAAGGGGAAAAGAAAAGAAACAAATGTTGAAATTTCTTTTCCACTCACCATAGACACAATCAATAAATACTACCTTCCATCAGCTTGGTTTCCAACTTTCTGACTGTATTTTTTACCACGTGAGATGAACACTTGATTTCAGCTTTAATTCTTAAGTGATTTGCCCCCATTTAAAGCACTTTGTCAGTTCCCTTGTATGACTTTTTATGTTTATATAAAGTACTCCGGAGCTTGAGATTGTGAACCCTCAACTGTTTCTTGTTTCCACTGCTGACCTGCATAGCGACTTGGGCAGGTTAATAAGTGTGCTGACCATAGACAATAGTCTCGCCCCTTCATGGGTCGTTATAAGGTCTGAGTAGCATCACACAAGTAAAGAAATTAGAGGAGTGTTGGCATAAATTAAGTACTTCATTGTTAGTAATTATAAAGGCTTTTCTTTGCTTAATACTTTTGTATTTTAGCTTTGTAAGCATTTCTTTTAGGTGTTAGAAATTACAGTTAAAATTTATATGACTCTGCTATTAAAATTCAGCCAGATCCGCCCAGGAACTGCAGC